GTCTGTGCAGTCCTTCTGCCTAGTCTGCCATCTTGCCGGAACCTCTCCAAGTTTAACTTTTTAAGGAGCTCTGGGGGTAAGTGGATAAGGCATTTGGCTGCTAACCAGAAGTTCAGCAGTTTAAATCCACCAGCTGCTCCTTGGAAGGAAGATAGGGTGATCTACTTCAATAAAGATTTACAGCCTCGGAAACCCAGTGGGGGTTGCTATGAGTCAGTATCGACTAGATGGCAGTGAGGGTTTTTTTTTTTTTTTTTTTAAGTTAACTTTTTAAATAACTGGTAAACTTATTCAAAGTGGCTCTATGATTTTACATTCCTATCAGTCATGAGAGTTCCAGTTTCTCCACAGCCCCTCTAATGCTTAGAATTGTTGATCTTTTTGATTATAGCTATTCCAGTGGGTGTGTGTTGTTGTTATTTGCCATCGAGTTGGACCTGACTCATAGCAACCCCTCCTTGGGTTGCCGAGGCGGTAGCACTATGGAAATAGATTGCCCAACCTTCCTTCCGAGGAGTGGCTGGTGGGTTTGAACCACCAGCCTTCTGGTTAGCAGTCAAGTGCCTTAGGCACTATGCTACCAGAGCTCCCCAGTGGGTGTGTAGGGGTATTTAATTTGAATTTAATTTACATTTCTCTAGACTAGTGGTATTGAGCATCTCTTCAGGTGCTTACTGGCCTACTGGTCATTCAGTATCTTTTTTGTTAAATATCCTTTTGTTCTGCTCATGTTCTTAAAATTGGATTGTTTATGTATATAATTATAATAACAATTTACATATTGTGGACACAAATCCTTTATCAGATATGTGACTTGAAAATATTTTCTCCCAATCTGTGGCTTGTCTTTTCATTTTCATAATGATGTCTTCTGATGCATAAACTTGCCTGCTAACCAGAAGGCTGGCAGTTCAAACCCACCAGCCACTGCTTGGAAGGAAGATGGGGCAATCTACTTCCGTAGTGATATTGCCTCGGAAACCCAAGGAGGGGTCGCTATGAGTCAGGTTCGACTGGACGACACATAACAACAACAACAAGAAGAAATTTTTAAATTAATTAATTTTTTTTGTTGTTGAGAATATACACAGCAAAAAACTACACTAATTCTAGTTCTACGTGTACAGTTTAGTGCCAGTGATAACATTCTTTGAGTTATATAACCTTTCTCATTCTCCTTTTCTGAGCTGTTCCTCCTATTAACATAAACTTAATGCCTCCAAAGGCTCCTCGCTAATCTTTCGAGTTGTTGTTGTCAATTTAATCCCATGCTTGGGACAGATATTCTTTACCAGTTAAGATAAACTATTGCTTGGTTTTAATAAGACTTCAGGGGATTTTCTGGTAGCCAACCGCCATCCAGTTCTTCTAGTCTTATGGCAAAGGGGATAGTTCTTCATGGAAGCATTTTGCCACACTGTCCATATGTTCCTCCTATTCCTGACTCTCCTTATGTTGCTCCAGGTGAATAGAGATCAATTGCTATGCTTTGGATGGCTATTTGCAAGCTTTTAAGACAACAGGCACTTATATAATGAACTAGGAGGCAGAACAGAAGCACTAAACATGTTTTAGGCTAATTAACTAGAATGTTTCATGAAACCATGACCCTAAACCTCCAAATCAAAGAATCAAATCCCATGAGGTGTCTGACTGTACATAAGCAGCTTTAGCAGCTACTCTTTGTTTTTTTTTTTTTTGGTTATTGCTGTAGATCTATCACACAACTTTTGCCAATTTAACTTTATACAGCTGTACAACTTATTGAAAGCAATTATACTAATCAGGTGTTCAATCCTAGCCTTTATGAATGTGATTTTTCCATCACTGTAACCTGAACCTCAGCACTCCACATAGCTGCTTTTGGGAGAGAGGTTATGTATTCTGGGTATTTTTGTCCCGCCTATAACTTGCTTTTTAAGTTTTAGTCTTTTCTTTTATTGTTTATATTTTTTTGTCTAGCACTAGTTTTTTTGTTGTTGTTCTTTTGCTAGCATTGTACTTAGCAAAAGTTAAAAAAAAAAAACAAACCAGTATCAAAAGCCTAGAAGCAGCCAAATGTCCATAAGTAGAGATTTGTTAAATGAAATACGGTACCAGGCAACAGTGTAAAACAATGAGAACGTGCTTCATATACTGATGTGGAAAATCTCTAAGATATATTGTGAAAAGAAGCAAAACACAAGATGCAGAAGATGTGTGAAAATGGCAAAAATAAGAACTAAATTTGTATTCACTTATAAAAGACATTCTGGAAAGTTGCATAAGGAATGAAGAACAGTGGCAGGGAGGGGGTGGTAAGGAATGGGGCAAATGGGGGAAAAAGGATACCTCATACACATTTTGAATTTTTGAATCAAGTAAATGAATTACTCATACAAAAAATTAAAGTAAACATTATTTTGGAAATATGGCCATCTGCAGTATTTCCAGGAGTAGATAAATAGCTGGCATAAGAGCAGACTAGATGGCAACTAACAACAACAAAATGGTAACATACCTGAATAGTTTGTAAAGGATTTTAAGTCTTCTAAACTTATGGGAACTTGGGCACCAGAAATTAACACCTGGGGAAAAGAAAAGTTCAAATCATAAAATTTGAGGTAGATTTTAAAGAGAACTTTTTGATATTTGTGAAACAACTACATCTCCAAAAGTGTCAGTAAGCACTATACCTGGATTTCTTGCTGATCAAACATTCGGAGCCATTCAAGATTAACAACATTGGCCAGACCCTGTCTGAAAGCCAGACAATGCTGGCGAATTTGTTTGTTTAGTCTGTAGTCGGCTACAAGATGGATATATGCAATTCGGTTAGCACTTGTAACAGGAATATCTTTTCCGCCAAATTTTAGTTCTACTACCTGTGAATATTAAAAAAAATATAAAGGGAGAGAGACTTTAAAATTCTCAAAAGTATGACTAAAAGTGTAAAACAAAAGCAAGAAACAAACATTTCAAGGAAACATGACTGAGTTGCTTTATAAAGAAGTCTAAGTAAAAAGTAGTACAACTAGTACATATATACCAGAATATATAATAAATTTAAAGAAGTTTCTCTAATGGGATCTTTATAAGTATGACATTTTACTCTATCGTTAAGACCATTAACCCATCTGCTCTGTCCAAAGTACTAATGAATGATGTAGCAATGGAATCATGCAATTTCATTTACAAAAGTGACAAATCACAAAAGGCAAAGATGTTAGTCAAATGATCAAATTTAAGTCAGAAGAGAATAAAGGAATTCATTTTGGAAAAAATACAACTGTATTGTTGTAGACTGTAGTAAAAGGATTATTCATATTTGTAGGTATAAGCAACATCTTTATATTTCTACAATATTATTATTACTGTGAAGTACTTTAAATATTATTTAAAGGAGAGTAGCCATAATTATAGAAATTGATCAGCTTATTTCTTATGTATATGAACAGAGTTAGAAAGAACAAGTTTTTATTATTACATCATCATACCCACAAAATTTGTCAGTATATATGGGGATGGAGTCCCTGAGTAGAGCAAATGGTTAATGTACTACACTGCTAACTAAAAGGTTGGTTTGAATCCATCCAGAGGGGCCTCTGAAGAAACCTTGGGCAATCTACAACCAAAAAATCAGTCACCAATGAAAATCCTATGGAGCATAGTTCTGGTAAGTGCAGAGGTCAGGAAACTTTTCTGCAAAGGGCCAGATAGTAAATATTTTTGGCTTTGTGGTTCATGTAACAAGTCTTTAAAAATGTAACACACATTTTTATGTCACTGGCCATTCAAAAACAGGTTGCAGGATTGGACCTGCTGGGCTACGGTTTGCTATATAGTACATTCCCTGCCCTAGCATATCAGAATAATAATGATAGGTAGCCTTTATTGTGTGCTTACTCTAAGGGAGGCAGTTTTAAGCTCTTTGTATACATCAACTCATTTAATCATCTTAACAACTATATGAGGTATAGTTTATAATTATTCCTATTTTACAGATAACAAGAGTCTCAGTCAGAAACTAGTTTTTATAATAAACTTTAGGCAGGGGTCGCTATGAGTCGGGTCTGACTCGATGGCACATAATAGCAACAACAACAACACAGGCACCCTGGTGGTGTAGTGGTTAAGTCATTTGGCTGTTAACCAAAAGGTCAGTGGTTCAAATCCACCAGCTACTTCATGGTAGATGAGGCAGTCCATAAAACTTTACAGCCTTGGAAACCCAATGAGGGTCAGAATTGACTCGACAGCAGTGAGTTTGATTTGGTTTTTATATAAAATCTATTATTACACACATATCTATTTTTGTTTCACTGTCAGGGCTTTCAATTCTATAAAAATGGCACTGATTTAAAAAAAAAAATGCTAGTGAGATTGTGGGTATACCAGAACTCTTATACACAGCTGGTGGGACTATAAAATGGTACAACCATTATGGAAAATCTTATGGCACTTCTTCAGAAAGCTACACATAGAAATACCTTATGATCCAGCAATCCCATTGCTAGGTATATATCCTAGAGATGTAAGAGCAGAACACGAATAGATACATGCACACCTGTGTTCACTCCAGCATTATTAACAATAACAAATTAATGAATAATGATGAGTCTGTGGAACATATCATGGATGAACATAGAGGACAGTATGCTGAGTGAAATAAGTCAATCACAAAAGAACAAGTATTACGTGGTCTCACTTTTATAAAAAGTCAAGAACAGGTACATATACAAAAAGCAATATTCTCTCATAGTTGGGCAGAGATAGGAGGAGGAGGAGGGAGAGGGAATCACTTTCTAGATAGTAGGCACTTGTTATTTTTGGTGAAGGGAAAGGTAATACTCAGTATGGGGGAAGTCTGTACTACATGTCCAAAGTAAATGAAGATAGTAAGAAGTATGCAAGAATAAGGGACAATTTTGGTAAAGGCTGTAACATATTATCCTGCAATAACCAAAAAAAAAAAAAAAATGTGTGTGGGTACACAGGTAGATAGATATGCATATATATGTACAGGAAGACATATATATGTGTATTTGAGTGTATGTGTATAGGTTTATCTGTAGGCATACGCATATACATGTTTGTGTGCACAGCATATAAATTCATATATATAATAAATCACATGAGGGCACACTTGTGGATACTTCTTAGACATAAACAAACACTTCACAGGATTGGTTTACTGGGTTTGAAAGCTTGGTACCACAGCCTCATAGGACAACTCAGTCAATTGGCATAACATAGTTCATAATGATAATGTTCTACATCTTATTTTGGTGAGCAGTGAACGGGGTCTTAAAAGCTCATCAGTGGCAAATTAGGATACCCCTGTTGGTCTCTACTCATCTGGAACAAAAGAGAAGGAAGGAAACCAAAGACTCAAAGAAGAAACTAATTCATAGGACTAAAAGTCCACATGAACCATGGCCTCACCTAGCCTGAGACAAGAAGAGCTAGCTGGTACCTGGCCACCACTACCAACTGTTCTGACCAGGGACACAATATACAGGTCCTGGATAGAATGGGAGAAAAATGCAGAACAAAATTCAAATTCCTAAAAAAGGCCAGACTTAATGGACTGATAAGAGATTAGAGGAACCCCTGAGACTACAGACTACTGCTCTAAGATACCCTTTGATCTAGAACTGAAGCCACTCTCGATGGCCATCTTTCTGGCCTATAAACTATATCACCTGTGAGTACTGTGCTCTCTTAAATAATCAACTATGTTGTTGTTGTTGTTGTTTGCCATTGAGTTGGCCCCGACTCATAGTGACCCCTCCTTGGGTTTCCGAGGCAGTATCACTACAGAAGTAGGATTGCCCAACCTTGCTTCCGAGGAGTGGCTGGTGGGTTTGAACCGCCAGCCTTCTGGTGAGCAGTCAAGTGCCTTAGGCACTATGCTACCAGAGCTCCTTAATCAACTATACCATAGCAAAATAAAGATAAGAAGCTAAGGAGGGGCAGGGAAGCTAAATTTATGGAAACAGAACAAACAGAATAGGAATAATGAGAATGTTGACAAACTGTGAAAAAAATGTAACCAATGTCATGGAACAATTTGTATAAAAATTGTTAAATGGGAACCTAATTTGTGTAAACTTTCACCTAAAACACAATTAAAAAAAACAAAAACTAAAACCCTAAAAACATACACACCAAAAAACTGTTAGTCCATCAAAGGACTTTATCAAGAAAAGAGACAACATATAGAATAGGAGAAATATTTGGTAGACATATCTTGTAAGAGCTTAATATCTAGAATATATAAAGAATTTCTACAACTCAACAACAAAAAGTCAAACCATTTAATTAAAAAATGGCAAAGGACTTGAATAGACATTTCCCCAAACAAGATATATAGTCAGTAAGCACATGAAAAGATGCTGAAAGTCAATAGTTATCAGGGAAATCCAAATCAAAACTACAATGAGATACCACTTCACATCCACTAGGATAGCTATTATTAGAAAAAGAGAAAATAACAAGTGTTGGCAACAATGTGGAGAAATTAGAACCCTTGAGTATTGCTGGTGGGAATAAAAAATGACACAATCACTGTCAGAAACAATTTGGTGGTTCATCAAAAACTTAAACAAAGAATTACTATATGACCCAGCAATTCCACCCCTAGAAACATACACCCAAAACAACTGAACACAGGAACTCAGACACTTGTATAACAATGTTCACAATAGTTAAAAGGCAGAAGTAATCCAACTGTCCATCAACAGATGAAAGGATAAACAAAATTTAGTATATACCTAATAATGGAATATTGTTCACCCATAAAGAGAAATGAACTTTTCATACCTGCAATGCTATGGATGAATTTTGAAAACATACTGAATGACATAACTCAGGCACAAAAGGAAAAATATCGTATGACCCTACTTATGTGAAATATCCAGAACAGGCAAATGCAGAGACATAAGTTTATTAGCAGTTACCAGGGATTGGTGAGGGTGGGAGAAGAATGGAAGTATTACTTAAGTGAGACCAAGTTTCTGCTGGGGATAAAAAACTTGGAAAGAATGGTAATGGCTGCACAACATTGGTAATGTAATTAATGTTATTGAATTGTACAATTAAAAATGGTTAAGATGCCACATATTTCATTGTTATATGAACTTTAACGCAATAAAACTATAATTAAAAAAAATTACAGGTCCTCAAAATGCAAGTATTTGATCCATAGCTTCTAAAAGGCTGTCCCCTAAGATGACTGACTTTTTCTAGGGGAAACATTGATGCTTCTTGCTGGACTGAGACACAGCATCTACATGTAATTTCAAAATAATTAGGATTTCATAATTTGATGTGTGTAGACCCATCCTCCTATTTGCTGTGAAAGAGTTTATACAGGTGTCAGAAGGAAATCTGTAACAGAAGCATTACTGGAGTTATTAGTGAGAACAGTACTGAATTAGAAATTAAAAGACCTAGATTCCAGTTTCCTTTCCATCACTTTAATGCATGTCTATAGACAAGTCACTTAGTCCTTCTGCACATCTGTATAATAAAATTCATTAATAAAACAATGATGTTTGTTTTGTCTATCTTCGAACTCTAAGTATATGATTGTAAGAGTCCATATACACAAAACGGGTTGGCAAAACATCACAGAGAACTATGAAATGTCAGCATAATTTGCAAAAGAGTATACTCTTCTAATTCTTTGTTTACTAGATTTTACTTATTCTAAGTGTTGGGATTTAAAAAAAAAAAAAAGTGGTCCGGGGGTTGGAGGAGGGTAATCTCTGCCATAGATAACGGAAGTATAAAATAAACCCAAAACAAATGGACAAAGATACTTCAGGGTGACCACATTAAAAACCAAGTAACATTACAAAATAGATTTAGTATGCCTACT